AAACTGCCTACAGGCACAGTGCTCACTATCTGGGGAATGGACCACCTAAGACTTAATCCCCACTGTTACACAATATGTCTATGTAGCAGACACGCATGTGTACCCCCTGAATAAAATCAATAAATAAATAATGGAAGAATCTTCTTTCCCTCCTGTTTGCTTACATTCCAGGAAAATGGAGACAGTCTTTATTGGTATAAAATACAATAGCATAGAATGAGCAGGTTTTCCAGCAGCCCTCTTATAAAATCGGGGTTTTCCAAGCACAATGTTGCTCAGCTGGGACACAGACCACTGTGTGCACAGCCTCCACTTGGACCCATCCCCTTGAGACATGGGAGTCAGGAGAACTGATGACAACATTAAGCTTATGCTGCCTGCTAGGCCATAGTAATAAAGAGTAATAAAATGTCTAAGTCTAGCTTGTTGTCTCCTTACCAGCAGAACACCTGGGAGTGTGGTGTTGCCACCTTAGGACTTGACAACCTGGCAGTTACCTTCTAGGTTTTATTTTGTAATCTTTGATTTTCAGCAGTTTGACTACCATGTATACAGGCAAAGTTTTCTTTGTAATTATGTTGCTTGGTGGTAGTAGGTCTTATCAAATCTATAAATTTGTATTTTTCACTGAATTTGGGAAATGTTCAGCCTTTAACTCTTTACTTTTCCCCATCTCTCTTGTCCTTCTGGGACTTGAATTACATGTTTTTAGAACTTTTGATATTGTCCCACAGGTCCACAGGGTTCTGTTTTATTTTTATTTTCCTTATCTTTCAGATTAAATAATTTTATTGATCTGTCTTTCAGTTAACTGTTTTACTGTCATCTATGTTGTTGTTAAACCCAACCCAATTAATTTTTTACGTGAAACATTATATTTATCAGTTGTAGAATTTCCTTTTTCTTCTTTTTACAGTTTTTATTTCTCTGATAAATTTTCCTATCGTTTCATTTGCTGTGAGAATATTTTTAAGTCAGTGATCAGGAAATGACAATCAATGAGCCTAATGTGGCTCACTATTTTTGTAAACAAAGTTGTATCAAAATACAGATATACTCATTTATTCATAACTGCTTTCACACTGCAATCGCAGGTTTGAATAGTTGCAACAGAGATTTATGTGGCCCACAAAGCCTCAAATGTTTACTATCTGACTTTTTACAGGAAAAGTTTGCTGGTTTCTGTTTTACATGATTGAGTACAATTATGATAACTGTTTTTGTTTTTGTTTTGAGTTGGAGTCTCACTCCATCACCCAGACTGGAGTGCAGTGGCATGCTCCCAGCCTCCGCAGCCTCAATCTGCTGGGCTCCGGTGATCCTTCCGTCTCAGCCTTCCAAGTAGCCGGAATTACAGGCGTGCTCTACCGAGTTCGGCTAGATAACTGTTTTAAAAGTGTTAGCTCCTAATACAATATCTGAGTCATCTTGGGATTGGTTTCTAAGATTTTCTCCTCTCTTAAGAATGAGTCATTTTTTTATGGTTCTTCATAGTTGAGTAATTTTTTATTTAACGTTAGCATTGCGAATGTTATATTGTAAAGATTCTAAACTGTTATAATACTTTGAAGTGTACCTTTTAAAAATTTTGTCTTATTTTAGTAGGTAATTAACCTTCTAATTCAGTCGAACCCAAACTTTAGATTTTGGCAGTTCAAATCTCACTTTGGTTCTTTATTCTTTGCTGGGCTGTATGGAGTCTGCCTGTGCATGTGTGGCTTAGGGATAAACCAGAGATTGGGGAATAGTTTCTATCAGAATTTTGGGCTCCTTCATCCTGGCTCCTCTTTTTTTTTTTTTTGAGTTGGAGTCTCACTCTGTCGCCCAGACTGGAGTGCAGTGGCCGCTCCCAGCCACCGCAGCCTCGACCTGCTGGGCTCTGGCGATCCTTCCACCTCAGCCTTCCGAGTAACCGGAATTACAGGCATGCGCTACCACGCCCGGCTGATTTTTTAATTTATTGTAGAGATGAGGTCTCGCTGCCCAGGTGGGTCTTGAACCCGCGGGCTCAGGCAATCCACTCACCTCAGCCTCCCAAAGGCGCAGGATTACAGGCTGAGCCACCAAGCCCGGCTTGGCTCCTCTTTTGATAGAATTCTCCCTTCCTTTCCAGCAATTCTCATTTGCCTGAACTCTGACCCCTTGATTTCTCAGGTCAGAAAGACTGTGGGTTTTCTAGGGGAGTTTTAGTTACTCTATATCACATGGATTTTTGCTTCCCCTCAGCTATGAAAATGGGAAATTCATTTCAAGTTGGCCCTTCTCCCAGCTGTTGACTCCCCTCCCATATCTGCCAGCTTTTGTTCACTCTGATATCTTGCAGGCATTGCTTTTTGTTTTGTTTTATTCAGTTTCTTGTCATTCTCTGCAAAAAGGTCAGTTCTTGTAGGAGCTTACTCTGCTGCCCCAGAACCAGAACTCCCATAAGTCTCTTTACATTACTGGTATCTCATCCTTTTGTTTTATTTTTTCCTTTCTTGTAATTTATTTGTCTAAGAAACTGATAATTCTGGTCCTGTAGAGGCTCCTCATTGTATATTTCGCTGTTGCATCCCCATGATATAATTTTATTTTAAATTTTTTTTTTTTTTTTTTTAAGTTAGATTCTCACTCCGTCACTCAGACGGGAGTGCAGTGGCATGCTCACGGCCACCCCAACCTCGACCTACTGGGCTCCAGGGATCCTTCTGCCTCAGACTTCCAAGTAGCTGAAACTACTACGAGCCTTTCACTTCAGTGTCCTAAAGTGGCTCAGCCTGTAATTCCAGCACTTTGGGAGGTCAAGGTGAGTGGATTGCCTGAGCCTGCGGGTTCAAGACCAGCCTGGGCAACTTGGAGAGACCTCGTCTCTACAATAAAAAATTAGCTGAGTATGGTAGCACACGCCTGTAGTTTTGGCTACTTGGAAGTCTGAGGTGGAAGGATCGACTGAGCCCAGCAGGTCGAGGCTGCGGTGGCCATGAGCATGCCACTTCACTCCAGCCTGGGTGACTGAGTGAGACTCCAACTTTAAAAAAAAAATGTATTGTACCATATTAGCCTCAGGTCTTTCTCTTTTTAAATAAATACAATGTTACCAACACACATGTGTTCTTTTTGTGTGTTATTGCAATGAATGGATGTTCTATAATGTATCTATCCAGGTTCCTACTGATTGTTGCAGTCTTTTGCTCATGAAAACAATTACAACAAATGGACCTAGAATATTCTCATTTGTGCAAATACAAAGTAGAATTGCTTTGTCAAATGGCAACACCGTGTATTTATATTTTTATAGATGTTGCTAAATTGCCCTCCAAGAACTTACTCCAATTTACTTTCCCAGGGTCCTTCCTACAGAGAGATTTTTGCCTATATAGTTATTTTTAGAAGTGTGTGTATATTAGTTTCCAATAATTGCTATAACAAATTATCACAATCTGAGTGGCTTAAAACAACACACATATATTCTCTCAAAGTTTTGAAAACTAGAAGTCTGATGTCAAGATATCAGCAGGATTGCTTCCTACAGGAGGCTCTGAGGGAGAATTTGCTCTGTTCCTGTCTCCCGTTCTCTGGAGGTGGCCACACTCCTTGGGGTCCTTCTGCTTGTAGATACACCACCCCATCTCTGCCTCCGCCTTCACATGGCATTCTCCCCTGTATGTCTGTGTGTCTGTTTTCTCTTCTTGTAAGGGCTGTTTTCTTGTTCCATCCAAACTGACTGTTTCTGCTGAGATGGTTAGTTGGATCTGGGAGTCATACCTCTAATTTCTCCAGCAAGGGTTTGACCATCACACCTTTGGTGTTTTCTCCAGAGCACACTTTTTAAAAAATGTTTCTTTGATTCCACACCTTTGCAATTGAAAAAATAATAAAAATAAAATTAAAAAGTTTGTTTTAATTTCACAAATCAGCAAATAAAATTGTATATATTTATAATATACAGCATAGTGTTTTGAAATATACATACACATTGTAGGATATCTAAATCAAACTAATAAAAACATGCGCTACCTCACATAGTTATCTTTTTTTTTTTTCAGTTGGAGTCTCACTCTGTCACCCAAGCTGGAGTACAGTGGCACGAACACTCATGGCCACCCCAGCGTCGACCTGCTGGGCTCCAGCGATCCTTCTACCTCAGCCTTTCAAGTAACTGGAACTACAGGCATGTGCTTCCATGCCTGACTAATTTTTGATTTATTGTAGAGACAAGATCTTGTCAAGTTGCATGGGCTGGTCTCGAGCCCGTGGGCTCAGACAATCCACTCACCTTGGCCTTCCGAAGTGCTAGAGATTACAGGCATGACCCACTACACCCAGTTAATTTATTGTTATTAACTATAGTTACCATGTTGGACAATAAATCCATTGAACTTATTCCTTCTATCTAACAGAAATTTAGTATCTTTTCACCAACATCTCCCCAACAACATCACCCAGACCCTGGTAAACTCATCCTACTCTTTATTTCTGTGAATTCAGTTTTTTTTCTTTTTTTTTTTTTTGAGTTGGAGTCTCACTCCGTCGCCCAGACTAGAGTGCAATGGCACACTCCCGGCCACAACAGTCTTGACCTGCTGGGCTCCAGCGATCCTTCCACCTCAGCCTTCCAAGTAGCTGGAACTACAGGTGCAGGCTACCACGCCTGGCTAATTTTTTATTTATTGTAGAGATGAGGTTCGCCAAGTTTCCCGGGCTGGTCTTGAGCCCTCAGGCTCAGGCAATCCACTCGTCTCGGCCTCCCAAAGTGCTGGGATTAGAGGCTGAGCCACCGAGCCCGGCCGAATTCAATTTTTTAAATTTCACATGTAGCCGGGCTCGGTGGCTCAGCCTGTAATCCCGTGCATTTGGGAGGCTGAGGTGAGTGGATCACCCGAGCCC